ATGGAAGTTTTACTGGCACGCAGCCACACCCACTTGTTTCCATCTTGTGTGTCACAGCAGCAGAGCTGAGCGGCTGCAACAAGACCTAGGAGGTGCTGGGCCCAGGACAAATTGTGGTGATACAGGGATAGCTGCACAGTCTCTCACCCAACCACACATTTTACTCCTTTACTTTTATTACCAGTGTATAGCTATCACGTCAGAACAGGACAAGCGGACTTGGAATGCACACTTGTAAGGCTCAGCGGGGTGTGGGTTATTATTTTATTGAATCACACAGCAAAGCGCTGTGTTTGTTACTGGCTGTGCTAATAGAACATACAGACATCACAATATTCCCAGCTAGCAGAAAAACAATGGTCAGAAAAATGAGAAAATTTAAAACAGTATATCTCATCTTAGTAGAATTTCTTCACAAAAATGAAAAAAGAGAATGAGGCTGCAACCAAAGCAAGTTTCCAAGTGGCTCAGTTGTTAGCCAAGCGAGGAAAGCCATTCAGGGCTGGTATGCTAACTAAGTCGTGTTTGACTGCAGCGGCTGAAAAAAAGTATCCAGAGAAAATAAGCTTGTTTAAGATGATTAAATCTGGGGCAAGACCAGTTGCTTGCATGTGGCCCACGGGCCACAGTCACTCTAGGTGACACCAATGAATGAAGCCACATCTGTGAGGGTGCCCGACCTTCCTCTGGTGTAAGTGAGTGAAGCAGAGCACAGGAAGTAAGAGAAAAGCTGAGGAGGGTGAGAGCTGGCCTCTTCTGTGTGCCATACACCGTCCTCAGCATTTTGTATTTACCTCATTCTATTTTCTTTCTAGAACTTACTACCACTGGAAAGTGTCTAATTTACTGTTCCTTGTCAGTCTCCCCTGTGAGGGCAAGAACTTTTGTCCATCTTGTTGCATCCCCAGTGCCTGGCACACACAGGAGCTCAGTAAACATCTGAATACATGAATAACAACACCTTTTAGGCAATGGACTCAGAAGGCCTATACACCTGAAGCCCTCCCAGGTGGAAAGTGTCCATTCAACATATATTTGTAGAGGGCCAGGCCTTCCTTCTCTACAGACTGAGCTCATCTTGGAGGCGCAAGCTGAGCGCCCAGAAAGTTGACTGTGCTTGCAGAGCAGACGCAGTAAGCTTGCCCAGCATCACAGAGCAAGGGCTGGGAGCTGGTTTGCCATGGTGGTGAATTTCCTGCCCAGGAGACTGGATTTTTTAAAGACACTCTGGCCTCCTGGAAACTTCTTTGAATAGAGGCATGCCTAGGAAGCTGGGTGGTAGCTGCAGTGTATCCAGGAATTTCTGGAGGCAGCCAAGCACGGCTGGAGAAAGGTCAGCACAGGGCACTCCTTGCCCTGGAAAACCACACCCATGGGTCAGCCTGACTCTCAGCCACCTCCCCAAACATGCCCCTTCCACCTGCCCCGTATGGCTCCCAACAGGCACTGGGGGACTGGAGTAGGGAGAGGGATGATGAAGTCCTGGGGAGAAGAGTGGAACACCATTCTGGCCCCAAGCTCCAGGACTTATTATTCTGACTCTAATAGCTTGAAAATTAATAATAATATTATTAATAATAAAAACAGCAAGCACAGAAAAGGAGCCAAGCACTGATCTCAAAACCTCACGTGCTCCCCCCATCTCGCCTTCATCCTACCACCCCATGTTGCAGCACTGTGACGTTGCCTAGGAGCAGGGACATCTCACAACCTACCCGCGTTTCCATACCAGGAGGTGGTGAGGCTGGGACTGAGGCCCAGGCCTGCCGGGCCCCAGGTCTGCACGTCCGACCCGTCCGCCGCACGACCTAGCCCGGGGTCAGCTGACGAACTCTGGGCACTCTGGGTCCTGCTCACAGCAAACAGGGCTGCCCCTAGGAGCCAGCCCAGGCTTGTACTCACAAGTGCGCTAGGAAATTCTCCTGCCGCACCTGAGCTGGCGCTGACTCTCACATAGGAAGCCACATGCTATGGCGGCTCTTCCAGAACAACCCTATGAAGTCAACACTGTTTGCCCCTCGAATGAATGAAGATGTTGAGATAAAATGCTGCCCAAGGCACACAGTTGTTACATGGCACAGCCAGGGTCTGAGCCCAGTCCGAGTGGTCCCCAAGTTCAATGCCTTACCAACCAGGAAGGAAAATCTTCCACCAAGGAGCTTCCAGCTTTTCAAGAGCACACACTGTCTCTCAACTCACTGGGCAAGAATCAGCCTCACACAGTGGAAAGATAAGGGCTCAGAGGCCAGTCAGTCCTGGGTTCAAATCCTGACTTTACCAGCCTGTGACCTGGAGTAGGTCACTTCACATCTCTTGAGCTGGGTTCTAGTCTGGCTGCCTTTGGGGAGGGGGCCTGGTGGCCTGGGTTCAGAGTGGGAAGAAAACTGGCTTTCACAGTGTAACTTTTTGTCTTGTTTGAATTATTTTTTACCACGTGCCTATGTTACTTTTCCCAAATATTGACACATAATTTTAGAGGAAGTAAGTGATCTATTTAATTTGGAAAAAAGTACATAGGATAAGTAACAATCTCCTCCTTGCGTTTTTATAAGGACTCAAAATAATGTATGCAGCTAGTAATGGCACACAGTCGGTGCGGAATAAATAGAGTAGGGATGGAGTGGAGGCAGGCAGGAGGCAGGCTGTCCAGAAGGGAGCCTGCGGCACGGGGCCGCCAGCCGACAGCCCGCACCCGGCATTCAGCTAGAGCCTTAGGGGGCTGGTGGGAGGCCCTGGGCACTCATGCCCTTTCCTTCCTTGCAGGAGCCTCGCTCCCAGGATCCCTCCACACACATCCACAGCACCCCCCTCGCCCCTGAAGCTGTCCCTGGTTGGAGGGAGCCGGTATCTGCTCAGGGTGTCTACACGGGATTTGTTGACTGCAAGTCAGGGTTTTTATGCCTCCACTTCCATCCTCTCTGGACTGAGCAGGAAAAGGCTAGTAGCCCTGGGGATGCCCCAGATTGTTGGCAGGGCCTGGGTCAGCATGTCTCCTGGCCCCCTCCCCATTGCCCTTAGGAGACATGAGTCATTTTGGCAGTATGTTTTCTTGCTCCTCACAAACCCAGACTCCCCATTTTCAAAGGAGGTGACTGCTGCCCCATCACTGACAGGCCTGTATGGGGGCAATTAGAGCACGAACACACCAAGTGAGACACTACTCCATGACAGACATGTCACCACAGAATAATTATACTCCATGACACTGCTAATAAATCAAGCTAGACAAACAAGCAACACACACTTGATCACCTTCCTCTTCAATCAGCATCTTGGTGCTGGCCTAAGGCTGATGGAGCCCCTAACAGGACCCCACGGTCTGCCCCTGATGCCTCCCAGCGACCCTGGCAGCTGAGGTCTACACCACTGCTCTGCAGATGAGGAAACCAAGGTTCACAGAGGGACAGTCCCCTCTGTGAACAGCAGAGGTGGGATGCAGACCCAATCCAGGGTCCACACATGGCAGAAGTGCAGGGTGACCCAGCTTGGCACGGCTGAGCTGGCTGTGCCTTTAAGTGGGAGGCCTGAGTTCATGGTGCTGAGGATCCCGTATTCCGGACCTGTGAGCAGGTAAGGAAGTGGCTTCTCCTTTCCCCACAGGAGGGAGGGTCTAGGTATAGGCACAGGAGAGGAAGGGGGCCAGGGCCTTAGCACTCAGGAAGAATCCTGAGACAAGGAGGGGAGAGGTGAGGGGTCTAAAATGACAGAGCATTCCAGAAAAGAAAACCCGGAGATCTGGGAGAAATGAGCAAGACAGGGAGGGGGTGGGCGATGGAAACCTGACACTGGCTAAAGCCCAAGGCCCTGGATACCTGCTCCTGAGCCCCGATCACTCGATCACTCGATCACTCGGTAAGGGTCAGACATCACACCGGAGCCTGTGCTGACTCAAGCAGAGCCGGACCGGGAGGGGTAACCCTCATCCTGCTGTGTGAGGAACAGGAGCGCAGGGCCTGCCAAAAGCCTCAGGGCAGGCCCCGCTAAAAGCCTGAACTCCCCAAAGCTGGGGTCTCAGCACTGCCGTGTTGAGAGTCCTCTGAAGCCCAGTCAAGGTCCAGGACCACCCACAGCCACCCCAGACCCACACAGGCTACACCCAGGGAGCCAGCCACAGGGACAGTGAGGTGAGGATGTTCGTCCACCCATTCATTCGAGGCCTAGTAGGCATGGATTCCCACTCAGGGCTGCAGGGACAAATGATGGGGTGTGGCGGAAGGATGGTGGTGTGGGCTTGCCCAAAGGGAGAAGGTGATTCCAGGACTTCAGGATCCTGGTAGGCTCCCAGGCCACCAGATCTGTCCACCCTACTGACAGGTCTGTCAACCAGACTGGCTCACCCACATTCTTAAGGCCTATGTGCAGTGACAACAAACTCGAGGCACCCCAGAGAGCTGGAGGCTTGGACCCTCCCCAGTGTGTCTTCCTGTATTTTCCCACCTCTTGCTCTCTGGCCTCCCCTCTCTCATTAGCCCCCACTCCCCCTCCCCGCAGGCTGGGGACAGACTTGGCCTGGTCTGGCCTACACTGACCAGCCCTGCTCCCTCCCTCAATATGACCAGCTTGGGGCAGACATGACAGCCACCCTGCCTGATAGAGGCTCAGCCCCCAATGAGGGGATGAGAGCCAGAGCCCTGCCACCTCCCTGCCATCCAAAGCTCAGGGAGGTCCCTCACGCTGCTGGCTTCTGGCCCAGTGAAATGCTGCTGTCTGAAACCCTACATAGGCTGTCTCCACCACCTAAGTACGTGTAGGGCAGGGCCGCTGGGCTGGGTGCAGCGGGGCTCCCCTGCCTGGGCTTAGGCCCTGGCTCTCTGACTGACGGGCCGAGACAACTCAGGCCACACGACCACTCCGGGCCTCAGTTTCCTTGTCTAAAAACTAAGAAGTTGGGACCAGAATGTCTCTGAGGTCTTCCTGGATCTACATCACAGATGCCAAACTGTGTCCGTACCGGCCCCCCGAGCCCGACAAGGAAGGACGATGAGCAGGCGTGCTCTTACCCGCTCCACAAGGCCATGCTTATGCTTGAGCTTGTACACTTTCAGCCGTGGCAGGCAGCTCTCGGCGTAGTTCCTGTCCTCCAGCCCATGGAGCAGGACGCCATGGAAGGCCAGCCGGCACGTGTTTGCGTGAATGTCTGCATCTAGCCTGGAGCCGATCACCAGGCACAGCCGAGGGCAGGTGACAGGCTTCTCAAACTCCACCAGGGCCCACTGCTGGCGGGGGCAGCGGCCTTCTATGGCCTGACCCGCCTTCTTATCAGCCTCGCCACTGTCTGTCACCGCCGGCGCCAGATCCTTGCACAGGTACTGCTCCTGGAAGAGGTATTCCCGAGAGAAGTCAAAGGAGTCCAGCACAGGCTCGTGGTCAAAGCTGTCGGGGGCGGGGCTGAAGAACATCAGCCGGCCCATGACCGTCTCGTGGCCCACCGTGATGTGGAACTTGGCCTTGGTCTGCAGGGGCCCCCGGAAATATGGGATCTTCTCCACGGAGATGAGGGCCGCGTGGACAGTGTGCAGGGACTCAGGGGCACACACCAGGCCACGCTCCAGCAGCTTGGGGTCAAACTGAGTGACACAGATGCCCAGCCGGTCTCCCTGCATGGCTGAGGTGACAGGCATGTGGAACATCTGCATGGACTTGACCTTCTTCACCACCTGGTCAGGAGCAAGAGAGAAAGCTTATGAAACCAATGTGCCTTGAGGTTAGGCGAGAGACGGGTTCCAGCTGGAGAAACCCCTGTCCCAGTGCTGCCAACACTCACCCGGCACCTGGTGTGCCAGCTGAGGGGAGCTCTGGGGCCAGTCAGACTCCCTTTAGACAGAGCAGGCTCCACGAAGCCCAGGTCCACAGGGCACCCTAGTCCAGGATGTGGGCAGTGGTCACAGCAGCCAAATCCTACATTACTTTAGTTTCCTCTATCCTTCTAGTCCCCACTCCACCCCAAGCTCCATTCTGGCACTTTCCTGCTTTGAGCCCTCTGTATAGGCCTGCCACCCATGCAGAATGGCCTCCCAAACTATGCCCACTAGTCCTTGAAAGCCCAAGCCAAACACTGCTGGCTCTGGAAAGTCTGCCCAGACCCCCAGTGGGCAGGCCTTGTCCCTTTCCCATGGGGGCTACCTCAGCCCCTCTGAATCACACACAGCCTGCTGTGCTGCCACTGCCCATCCTGTAGCCACCTGCCTGCGGGCTTCTCCAGGGCAGGGCTGCTCTCCGCCCATTCCGCACATAGTCCCGGGGCCTACCACATACCAGGCACTGGTCTAGGGGTAGGAAGAGAGCGAGCTCTGTCCTCAAAGAGCTTAATATCCAGAAACAACAACAATAAAATTGCAAATACATTAATATTAACTAAATTTATATTAATATAAATAAAATCAATATATAACATTTTATGTGTGTGAATATATACAACTATTATAATTATGCAATATGTCTATTATATAGAACATGCTATACAGAAGGCCTGCAGTGACGAGAGGGTCTGGCTTTTTTGGATCGGTGGTCAGGGAAGACCTCTGCAGACGTGATGTCTGAGCTAAGACCTGATCATAAGAAGTTGTGTGAAGGTCCAGAAAAAGATGATTCTACACGGGGGAACCGAGGAGTACAAAGGACCCGAGACTGGAAGAGGCTCGACGAGTCTGAGAAAGAAATAAAGAGGCAGTAGGGCTGCAGCAGGGAGGGCAGGGGAGGCCAGAAGTCACGGAGGAGTTTAGGCAAAGGAGTAACCTGATCTTATCTCTGTTTCTAAACCACCACACCAACTACTATACCAGGCAGATTTCAGCACCCGACAGTTTGTAAATCAGGAACAGCCACAGAAAATGCTCTAATAAACATTCACGAAATGAACGAACCTTCCTACTAAGATCCACTGTTGCAGAGATGAGATGAAATCACGTTCACGGATTTCTGCTTAGCAAAGCAGAGACACATGTAATATATTTCAGAATACCTGCCCATCACGAATTGTTAAACTAAAGACAATTTCCACCGTTAGGTTGGAAGCACCCCTACCTACAAAGCTGGGTGTTTGGAACACTCATTCTCTCCCTGGATAAAGAGAGAAGGCTGTGCTAATACCAGGCGCAGGAGCCCAGGTCCTTTCCTGGAGAGCCATAATACTCAAGTGTTTGTTTAAAGATCATTAACTACCTAACCAAGAGGTCAGGGGGCAGAGAAAGTGAGAAGCACAGTGTCAAAAGCCACAGCCAAGATCAATCAAAGAGAAACATAAAACATCTCTGAAATGGTCTGTAAGGGCAAGAGGCAACTAAGATTTTCAGGAATGCACCTCCGAGTAACTGGAGAATACTCTCTTACACTGAGCATCTGCCCTGCAAGGCAGGACCCGAATCACAACTCTTCCCCCAAGGCCTGCAGCAGCCCGGTGAGCTGTCCTCTGCACCCTCGCCTGTCTCCCTCCTTCAGCCAGCTTTCTAAAACACGTCTGGGGATGCAATTCTCTGGCACCAACGTCTACATGGGCTCCTATCTCCTACATCATGACTTTCAAATCTTTTGGGCATAGCTGTTGTGAGCAGGAAGATCCTCTGGACAACTGAAATTATATGGGGCATCAGTCCCCCCAATCCCCATGGCTAAAGCTGCTCAGGGCGAGAGGGGGCTGCTGTGCTTCCCGGCACCCCCTCTGCTACCCCACCAGGGACTCCTGATGGCCTGGCTCCTCCACGGCCTTCGCTGGAGCCTGCCCCCATGCGGCCTGCCTCGACAGCTCCTCCTGCCCCACGTTCTCCCAACCCTCTAAGCCACAGCCCGTGGCAGCTTCAACAAGTACCCACAGACACTGTAGTTCTGTAAGTCTCTGAGCTTTGCTCGTGAGGCTCCTTCCCCCTGGGACTTCCTCCTGCCAAATTCCTGTTCATCCCTAAAACCCTGGCTCTCAGGGCACCTGCTGGAGGGGCTTCCCTGCCCACTCCAAACAGCGCTGGTTCGTCTCCCCAGGTTACTCTGACCCCGACTGACTTACTGTCATTGCTGGTTTACTGCTCTGTCAGTCCCTGCCTCCGTGCATTTACTAATTTAAATGACAATATAATAATATCCACGGCCCCATCATCCCCCGAGAACTAAAACACTACCAATAACTTCTATCTCCGGAGGAGCTCCTCCCCGACCCAGCTCTCCCGCCTGCCCCGGCTGGAGGGGAGCACTCCCTTGAACGTGCCGTGTAGCGCTCCCTTCTCCATGTACATGTGTGCATGACTGTGTAGAGCACACCACATGTGTAGCCTGTATGCCTAATCAATGCTGTGCCTTGCTGTGTGAGGTCCAGAGCGCACTGTGTGCCGTGCTGTCTGTACCTGCAGGTCACTTGCCGCTGACACCGCAGGTCACACGCTGCGCACAGACCACCATCCAGTCTCCTTGTCAATGTGCACTTGAGCCATTTCCAGCTTTTTGCTAGAAAACGGTGTGATGCATTTCCCCTCACACAAGAACCCTGCCTGGTGCACAGAGTGAGGAGGGATTCTGGAGGACACAGGCCCTGGACTAGAAGTGCTGGGTCACAGGGCGAGCACTCACTCCGCTAGATAAATAAAGTACCAACACACACTTCCACCAGCAGGGCCAGAGATGCCCAGTGATACAAGTCTTCTCCACATCTGGCATTGTCAGATGTCTTAATTTGTGCCTATCAAATTTGTATGTCTCCCCTTCTAAATCCTGAAGACAGGGACCATGTTCTACCCGCTGCTGCATCCTCAGCGCCTAGGACAGAGGGCTGCTGATAAATCCTGCTGATGGCAGACCCAGTTAAATACCCAGCCTGTCTAAGAGAGACTGTACCTGATTCTGGAAGACAAATGCCCCTCAGCCAAAACACACCTGGCAAAGAACCAAGCTGAGATTGTAGACCTGCCAGGGCCTGAGCGAGATCCCTGTGTTTATGAGCTTTCTCGTGAGGGAGGGCGGCCAGGGCGTTGTACCACCCTGACAGCCCCCACCCCCACCCAGCAAGCCCAGTGCCAGCAGGCTTTATTCAAAGCACGTTCTCTTTTCAACAGGGCTCGTGTGCTTAGGACCGAAATAATAAAGAATGTCTTAAGAGAACATCGTGAAGAGCAGAAAGACAAATAACTGTGCAAATCAGGATTTTAAGGGCCCAGACAGGAAACTGTGAAACAGATACAGAGAGGGACAGGGCAGCAAGGCACTGCTGCGGCTCTCAGGGGCTCACAGAAAGCACCACCACTGCCCCGGCACCCCCACTCCACGAGGATGCACTAAGAATACAAGATCCCATCCAGGACACCAAAAACACACAAAAGTAGATAGTGTTACCAACTTCAGAGTGAGAAAAACAGGATTTCCTTTCATTTTCTAGCCAACTTGGAGAGACTTTATCCACTATTCGACAGCTCACTCACCAAATATTTACTAATATCCATGTTGAGTGGCTGAGATACCATACTTGCCTTTACTCAACACGTATTTATTAAGTTTCTCTCACGTACCAGGCCCAGGCCCCGACCCCAAAATGATACAAGCGCGAGGAAAACAGTTTTGGTCCTATAGAGTTTACTGCTTAGTGGGGGGACAGATATTAATTAAATCATTAACAAATAAATGCAGAATTACAAAATCATGAGGAGGTGCTATAAGAGAGAATAACCCAGGGACCTGATTCTTCCTGGGTGGTCAAGGAGGGCTTCCCTGAGGAGGCAGCACTGAAGCTGAGACCCGATGGAGGAGAAGGAGCCACGCCCCCTGGAGAAGGGGCTCCAGGCGGAGGCAAGAGCAGAGCAGGCCTGAGGCCTGAGGTGGGAAAGCACGTGGCCTGTCTGAGGGACTGAAAGGCGGTGGGCTGGTCGGGGGGAGGTCAGGGGAAGTGGCATCAGGTTGGAGACACTGGCCAGCCACCTTCACCATGAGAAGGACAATAGAAGCCACTGGTGGTAGTGGTGGCCTGGTTGAGGAAAGGAACAACACCTTCTAATGCGCACTTTTAAAAGATCATTTGGCTACATGGTGTGGAGAAGAGATGGGGGTGGGTGGAGAAATAAAGAAGGGAAGAGGGAAGCTAGCACGGGAGATGCTCAGAGTTCTTTCTGCAGTGGATGACAGGATGCGGTGATGAGGGAGAGACTGGCACGTACAGAATAACTCCCAGGTTTCCAGCGTGAGGACCGGCCTCGTGCTACGATGAGGAGGGGCAGCAGAGGGCTGACAACAGGGGGCATCTGAGAGACGGCACGAGGAAAGGCAGTAGGCAGCACACGTGCACAGAAGTCAGAGTTCCAGGACAGGCCGAGGATGGAGACGGCGGCAGGAGTCAGGAGAAGGTGTACACACCTGCCTGCCCCCGACCTTCGCACCTGGATGTCTGGTAGGCATCTCCAGCTTACTACATCTGAGACCTATCTTCTTCAGTCCTGTCCTTCTCAGAAATGGCAGCTCCACGTTTCTAGACACTCACGTCTTCACAGTGAAAAACTGGGTTCCATTTTGACTCTTCTTGTTCTCTCGTGCCCACACCCAGTCATCAGGCAATCTAGTGGGCTTTACCTTCAAAAGAGGTCCAGCACCCGATCCCCCTCCCACTGCATCCACTGTCCACCCTGGTCCCAGCCCCACGTGGCTTCGATTATTTCCTGCCCCCCGCAGTCTGTTCTCCACAGAGCAGCTT